CAGTATCGAAGGCTCTAATAGGAATATTGCAACGATATGCTCAGCGATGTTACGCGCGTTATTGATAATGTTTGTGTCAGGTTCTTCATGTGAAGTACAACAAAAATCTTCAACAACACACGATTGGACATTTGTGATTATCATTGTATAATTGACAGTCTCAGAAATTCAAATAAATTAACAAAATTTAAATAAAAAATATCGATCTTCAACAAGGGTTTGCTACACTCGGTTTAGCAAAAAAGAAAATTTAACAGGAAACCACCTAAGATATTTGCCAAATATATAATGCAAAAGGACCTAAATGACGTGGTTCTTGGACGGTACAAACTGTTCATTAATAACTATAAAGTTTGCAATGTCAATGAACAATTCAGCAGAAAAAATTCTAAATTTTGGTGCAAGTTCAATCTCGTGTTTTATCAACAATTTTTAAGAGCCCACTATAACTATATTAGGAATAATATCTATAACAAGCAACCAACATTGTTGGGCGCATTAAAGTATGGTCGGAGAATCATGTCTTTATCAAACATCTTCAGTTGGATTTTCAAATAATTTTTATTTTACATCTGATTTATTATTTTATAGAATCTGATTTAGCGGATGATGAGGAATCATCAAAAGCGAGATATGGCTCCGAGATTATAATAAATAAAGAAAGTATATATATATATATATATATATATATATATATATATACAATAATTGTTGTTATCGTTTGTATACTTTAATCTTTACGAATTTAGCGTAAAAAATCTTTTTTCCGCTCATCAACATTATTAAATGTCACATATAAACTAACAAATAAAACATGGAGATTTATGCATACTATCAGGCCAAATGGTAGCTGAGTTTTTTAACTCTGCTGATGTTGGTCCACTAGGTACACGTCTGCCGTGATAAATATAAGGTTTTGATACTATAAGGAATAAAATATGTAAATGGCAGACATCGTAAAATACATTCAAAAAAATTTTTTTTCTGCATTTTCAAAATCGTCTGCCACCATGTTAACCGCGCGATAATCGTCTGCCATTGGTATTTTACGATAGTAATAATATTATATTTTCAAATTTTCGAAACGACAACCGTCGTAAAATGGTTCGGATATGGGCGAAAAAAAGGTACCTTTACCAGCTGCGCAGTAGCTGTGTCCGCCACTTTGGGCTTAGTCAGTCCCCATTTCATGTAGGATAGGTATAGAGGAATCGATGCACAAAATCTCAGGTGTCGTAAAATACATACTGTCATCCGCCCACGGGCTCTTGGACTATATATTTTCAACTTAGTTTAGATTTAGAATAATATATGACGAAGCATTTCTGCATCACCAAATCATAACAATATTTAGAATTATGGTTCATTTGATAGTGTGTTTAATTTATTTGTCTAAACCGAAAGCTGAATGTAAAGTGCAATGGCGAAAAAAGTCAGTCCATGATCATAAAGATTGCTATTATTTCATTGTCGTAATTTTACCATTACTTGCATAATGATTTACTTGCCTGCTGATGTTTAATAATTGTTTAAAGGAAATTTTATATTCAAAATTTTAATCAATGATTTCATAATAGAGGTTTATTCTGATAACATTTAAAATCCATATTACTACATATATTATAAAAACAATGATAAATCATGTTTTGAATCTATTGAATTAATTATGGTCTCTAAAATACATATCTATGATCAAAATTAAGTATTAATATTTCACAAACACAAGGAGCTATCGAGGAACACAAAGTCGCTGTTGTATCTGCACATGTGTTCAGAAGTTGAATGGCTTGTGTGCAATCGAGTAACTCGAATGATTGGATTTATACGGATTATGCGAGTATCTCTAATGAGTCGATAGAAGCCGAGTGGCTTGCATGATTTAATTCACTTCTATATTCATATTTATTAAAATTTATGTTCATGCATATCGTATCACAGTAAATATTTCGAATCGGGTTGTTAAGGGCTTGATTCGAATGATTCGAATCACTTGATTCGAGTTGGCATCACTATCAATTATATAATATCAAAATTAGTAATAGTTTGTAATATAAAGCTGTTCCATCATACATATTATCAAGAGCACTCTTTTAGCGCGCAAAAATAAGTACATTTTAAAATAATTGTTATTGGTACATTTATATTTATTTATGGCTTTATAGTTGTTTCCTTATTAATTAGCCAATTGTGATATTGTTTCTGGTGCATCTAGTTAATTATAGATTGTATACATTTCAGACCTCGAAGGTGTGAATGCATCAACGAATAGATGCATACCCGATATCTTAAATCAATCTATAATTCACTACAATCGTGCCGTGACCGCTATGACAGCTGCTAGTTCTACAGCTATACCTATGTCTTTTCAAATAGATTATTTAAAACTAAGATTAGAGTTCTTACAAACTTTGCTGCAAGTGACATTATGCTGTTATTTGGTCTACACGCCTCCGGCTTATATCAGCCAGTCCGTCGCACAAGTTAACAAAGATGAATTGTTAAGATATGGACCAATAATTGTGGAACTTCGTAAATGTGTTACCTTGCTTAAGAAAAATGAGGAAGCATATATAAATTTGTATCAAAAATCATTTGATGCAGACCCTGCTACTTTGGATTTACTGCAATTGTTGAGGTACCGAAGTAATGTTCTTGCCACTTCCATAGAACGTATGTGTTACACCAGAGATGTTCATTTTGAACAACTAACCACAAGCTATATTACAAATCCAGAAAGACGCAGTTTGCTTCAACATTGCAACATGATAATGGATATATCTGACAAATTTCAGGCAAGTCTTGTACCAGGTGTTGCTAAAATGATAACTCCTAAAAACTGCGCAAGTTTATTAGAACAAGTAGCGCTCTTATGCGCGGCACCATTCTGCATGCCTAGATTTTTCTTCCAGGTTCTTCAAAGTACTTCGTTGAAACTGAATATCACTCCTGTCCCCAGAGTTCAAGGAGAACCCATAAATCATGTTCCAAATACCCATCTAGTAGTAAAAGTTGAAGGTATAGTCCAATACACACTGGCGGCAAAATCTACTTTTCGCACAGTGGCGCAGATACATCTAACATTGAATTCAGTGCTCCAAACTAAGCTGGGCGCAAATATTGATGTAAAGCCATCAGATGCGAGTCAATTTTTATCTCAGACTGTTAAGCCTAACCATGACTATTTCTCGGGGAGTTTTTTGTTGACTTTAGGAAATCCAGGATTATGGGTAGCAAATATCGAAGCAACTATCATCGATGAAGATGGAAAAGTTTGGAAGAACGGCTGCAAGGGTTCACTTACAATTAAAGTTTTGGATGATTCATCTAAAAACACATCAGGGTCAGTGACTAATAGAAGATAATTGTTACTTGGAAATATTATTATGAAATAAATAGCTAATACTACAAGAAATGAGCAATTTAAAAATGAAAGAAAATGATGTGAATAAAATATGCAAAAGAGAAATAAGTGTGTTTCAGATATGATAGTGAATTATTGAATGATTTACTTGAAATGTGAGTTCATACGAAGTTTTTAAAAGAATTCATCATTAACCTTCAGTAGTCACTGAAGAACTACTAATATATGATTTGTATTTATTGTAAATATTAAAAGTTGTTTTCATGAAATAGTAGTTATGATTAATAATTGTTACACATATAAAAATATCAAAAAATGAAAAGATCACACTGTAATAGATAATATTATGACAAAAATATGGAAGTCAGACAAAAAAATGAAACCAGTTTTTAAAGTACATCAAGCGATATGTATATTATTAAAATAGAAAACCTAATATATATTATGGCGGCATATTCATATAAAATTTAGCACACAACATCTATAGTAACATTACATACAAAGATTTTGGATTGTTCCTTTGGCATATTATTACAATTAGTTGATATATTAATTGTTATTTTCTACAATTTCATTTATTTTTCTATATTTATTTCTCACTTGTTGCCCCAGAGTATTTAAGAATAAAAAAATCAGATTAGTATCACAAGCATTAGGTACAATTAATAAAATATAAATATGGATTTCAAAAACGTATTCATCATAATAAAAAAATGTCAAAGCAGCTCAATTTCAGTTATTGAAAAAGTTCCCATAAATCTCTTATATTTTATTCACAATAAAACACGTGTTTAATAATAAATTTCTAAATTATACTACATAAAATTGCACAATATTTAAATTAAATTATAGTAACAACTAATTTTGACTAATAAGTATTTGAATATTTGTTTAATATAATGGCTACAATGTGTAATTCAGCACTATTATCAAATAATTAAAACGAGATTTAACGGTTTTATATGTTTAAATCATAATCAAATGATTTTCAAATCTAGTAGAAATAAACCATCACAATTATTGATTGGAAATATTATTTAACAATCTGTTGTATTCAATCAATAAAAAATGCTGATGGCAAAAAGAGTATACCATTAGTTTAATCTGCAATATTAATTATAAGAAGTTATATTTATCATGCCATCAACAAAATTGTTATCTGTGTATGGCATAATAATATAGCCAGCCATGAATATTGAAGTTATAAATCGAACACTTGAAATTAACCATTATTTGTATAAGTATTCATTAGTAATATCAAAACCATATCATATGATATAATAAAAAACATCCAGATCCAAACCAGTAATATCACAAATAATGAGATATGTCGTTCAATATATTTTTCATGTCCAAGACTAATATTTATATTAATTTAGCTAATATCAGTTCATTCTGCTACAATTTTATGAACATTTTATTGAGTATTAAAAGAGCCTAATCTCCAAATATGAAATAGTAATGAAAAGTACATATAAGTAAACACCAAAATAATCCATTGGGGTTCCAATAGATTATATTCATAATTAATATTACTTACACGTTGTTATATTTTTATTGGTAGGAAGTAGTGATTATTAAAGTTCCTTGAAAATGATATTTAAGAAAAAATATCAATTTTTTTTTATCAAATGCTGTGTATGGAATTATATATACAATTTCATTTATAAATTTGCCAAATACTAGTTTATAGTTGATTATATTTTCTATTCTGTCCCATCACAAATAAATCAATTCTTTTTTATATTCCCTCCATTTGCTTTCAGCTTCAGTAGTAATCACTACTTCTATCAATAATCAATGCATGTCCCTAATTAAGAGAGTAGATTCAAATATCATTTTATTAATTCTAAAGAGTATTCTTATGTTGATCGATATTTTAACATGTTGAAAGGAAAACTGAACGACTTGCTCCTTTATATCCTCATTTTAATAGCAGATTGCTTTTTGAATTAGTTATAATATCTATATTTATGCAAATTAAGAGCACATCGAATTGTAATATTTGATCGACATTTGTTTGTTTTGCCTCTGTTATTCTGCCAGTCATAAATAATGCTGAACTGTTTAATTTAAAATAGTCAAAAATGCATGCAAGTTGTCCAATATTTCAGTCGCCGAAGATAATTTGTTTGGAGACTACTTATAAACATGGAAAGGTTTGGACAGGATCATATTTGGCACTTGGTGTATTTTTGTCTAGTTAACAACTGGTTTATCCAAAACCGCTGAAGTAGCCATTTGGTCCACTCCGCAAGTTCCATCACCACGGTATACTCGGTAATATCCTTGTTCGCCCCAGCGGGGACCCCAGGAATTTTTTATGATCCAGTATGGCATAGTCTTGTTGAATTTTGGATATGCTGAAATAATATTTTCAATTTTAGCGAATCGGATTTTTTAATGAAAACATAAACGTTTCCTTCGGGAAGTTAAACATTTTATACGATTTCAAAAGGGATGCATCAGGTTGGCAATTAAGTAAGTGCGGCTTTCACTCCTATATGGTTGTAATTGAATTTTCAGGTTTTCTGACGTAGTTCAATTGTAAATACTTTTTGTTATTGGATATTAGGCAAAGATGCAAAATCAAATACAATAAAGATATTTTAATTATAATAGATATTATATTAATGAAATAGGTATGAAATGTATAAATTATGTAAACTGTTTTCATAATCTCTCATACCAGGCACTTCTGTCTGCCTGAGTATATATAAAAAAAAAATCGAAAACTTGTCATATTTTGACTTTTTTCTGCAAAGTTAATGCTGTGAATGAAATAGTGCTAGCTTCAGAACCTTTTTTTTAATTACAATATTTATTACAACTGTACATTTAAGTACCTTAAGCTCACAAAAAGTTTTGCGCTCTACTTTGTTGTCTACTTTTACTCTTACCATCCAACCAAACAAATCAATTCTAATGTAGAACAACTAACGAAATTAAACAACACAGTGATTTATTCAATATTGACATGATTTCTTTGGCCATTCGGGATGTTTAACTACATTTATCATATAATCCTGGTGTTGTACCTTCTGATTACTTTTTGTCTCAATCTTTATAAAAATTAAAGGTAAAAAATTTAATGATTATTATGGTGCCAAATTGTCTCTGTTTCACTTTTTTACTAATAAAAGCCAAAAGTTTTATGAAAATGATATACTAGTATAATGATGCTGTTTTTAAGATGACGAAAGTCATTTAAGAACATATACAATACATTACAGAATAAAGCTATTTAGTTTTATGAAAAAATGTATTTAAGTTTCTGACAAAAATCCGCACTTACTTACTGGCCATGGATAATATTAAAAACGGTCAAAAAATTACTTACTATGTACGCCATAGCCCACAATAAGTACTCCGTGATCCAAACTAGAAGGCTTGCACAAGATCTTCCAAGGATGAGATACTCCTCCACGATAGAACTGCATAGCATTAGCATTGATGCCTAATGTTTTACAAATGTTTTTTATTAGAATATTGTGACATGAACAATTTAAATATATGTATTTTATTAAGCTTACCAATAGATATGGGTCCATTCTTCACAAGCCACAACGCAATTTCAGTTTCATTTTGTGGTAAATCAACAGCTCCGCTCACTTGAACTCGAGTTGCTGAGGGATCGAAATGACATTTTTCTTTTTTACCTTCATATGGGTAGTCCGATTCGGATTCTAAGCCTCCCAGCTGCTCAATGGCTCTAAACAATATTGTTTAATTACAATTGCAAATAAACTTAGGTAACAATTATCTACTGATTAAAGTATCATTTAAAGATAACTTCAATTAATGTAGACCAATTTGACATAAAATAAACATATAAAATGTAAAATCATAAATAGACAGAAAGTTATCTCCAGATCACTTAGTTATATTCAAATTAATTTTATTATATAAATATTCAATTATTAGACAAAACGATAGAAATGTATATAAAAATTTTCACTACCAAAACACTATTCATATATGAAAAAATCAAGAAAAATATATTAAGTTTGCTAACTTGTAAGCATTGTCTGGTAAGCCTCCACCACATCCATCATCAATAGAATCACAATCCACTAATTCTTGCTCTGAAAATTCTTGCAGTTTTCCAGATCTTATAGCTTCAAGGCCTTCTATGTTACCAGTGACACTGAAAGCCCAGCAACTTCCGCAGCTTCCCTGGTCTTTAACTTTTGTAACAGCACCATGATCTCTCCAATCAAAAGACTCGGGAAGAAATATGTCGCTAGGAATTTGTGCAGAAGCATGAGGTAATTCATTATCTGAAATAAAAACATAAAATATAGCAGCAAACAAATTAATTAACTACAAATATGATAATAAATGGTATAAAAATATATAAATGCTTGCATTGACTATTGGAATGCTTTGCACACGACTATTGGAATTATTTCAACAGCTTTCATATAACTCAATCAATTTCAGTTTAAGTGTATGAAAACAATTAACCTATTACTATCATAATAATAAGATATAAATAAATGAATCGATAAACTTTTAAATTCGGATGATTTAAAAGAATAATCAAATGGAACAGAATGATTTTTTTTTGGCCATGTAAAAACAAAAATATTTACATTGATTTGATATTTCGTTAACAATTTTTTAAATACTATTATAAATTAAATATTAAAATCTTTAGGCAAATATTTACCTGACCGCTGAGTTCTTGGTAAAAGTCCTGTATGTCGCGACTTGAATTCTTCAGGAGTCAAATCGGAAAATAGAGTGATACCATAATGGGCTGTACCCAATTCACCGCGATTCAATCTCTCGATACGTTTCAAATTTTCCTAAAATGAAACAAATTGCATTAGGAAAAATTTTAAAGTCTTGTTATTTTCCTCACTTCTACAATAAACAAAGTTAAATATCACTTACAATTTTTTATTAAAAATATAGTTGAGTATTATCAATATTATGATATTTCTAGACAATATTTATAAGATAATTTAAAATAATGAAATATTATATTATTAATTTTTGCCTATCAACAAAAATATCAATATATGTCCAATAAGAAAAATATGCCATTTATATCCCTAATAAAAAATATTAGTACAATAGATTTCGTCGTGTTTCCATTCAAAATTGGCCCCACCCTATAATTTAAATGATTTTAATGCCATTTTATAGCATGCCATGAAATGGCATCAAAATCATTTAAATTCCAGGGTAGGGCCAATTCTGTATGGAAACACGACCAAACCTTTTAGAGTATAGCTTTCTCAAACTTCTTATGCCCCTTAGTATAATAGTAATATAAAACCAGGTGTAAGTGTCATTTTGCTTTAAAGACATGTTGCATGAACTTTTTGATATGTGAAAATAATTGACTAAACCAATAAGAAATCAATTTATTAGTATGAGTGATTTATAAGGATATCGAGTTGACATTGCGGATATAACAATTTTGTACAAATTTCATATTAGTTATATTCGATAAATAGTTTAAATGTTATGATATTTCATCAACTGGGTTTTAACATTTTGATATCTGTGCTTGAGAAAACTTTGACGAAAGATCAAATTTTGCCTACACCCGAACACACATACTTTTTCTAATTTTGATTTGAAATGATTCAGAATGACTTGAAACGTCAAGAGAACATAAATTTAGCAAATCAAATTTCTGAAATTCAGTAGAAAACATTTTTACAAAAATATTATTAAATTCCCGTGGGGTAAGTTTATAGTAATCGCAAAAAAATCGAAAATGAAATTTTTTATATATCTTTACGTTTCAAAACCTTCTGAACATTTTGGCATACCTTAGAAAAAATGGATGTATGTGTACGGATACAAATAATATTCGTCGACGATTTCGGGAACACAGTTCAACCGATTTCAATTATTCAAAAAACATTCGATTCGTATTGATAATGAGACGTACTGATTATTTTTGGCGAAAGCAAGCTAGCCGATTTTAAT